TACTGACAGCTCTGATCAGAGAAGCAGCTTTTTGCAAAGGATAATTAACTGAAGATGTTCATTACTGGTTGAAACACGTTTAAACCACTCCAACAAGGCAAATGGAAGATATTATGAAGCAGGGAGGGGCTCATGAGACCTTCCCTTAGTATTTGTAGGCAGATGATGGTTTCTGGTAGAGGGGAAAAGATCTTCAGTGGTACAGGTACTATCAAGTTGCTTATGTTTCTGTGAATAATGTTTGCCATGCTCTTGTAAGCAATCACAATAATGTCATTGGGTCAGTGAAAATAAAGGCATGAAAACAGAGAGCAATAAGTTGGAAAAGGAGAGATGAAATACAGCAGAGTGTAGGGACAGAGAGGATGACTGGGTGAATATGATCAAAATATCTTATACATGCATATTAAAATGTTATCATAAAACCCATTATATATAACTAACATATGCTAAAAAGGCCTTTTTAAAATGAAAATACTATTTCAAGAAAAAGATGATTAATTCTAAAATTCAAAGTAATTTTAATAATAATAAATTGATTAATAGCTTAAATTTCATTACTTGATCTAAGAGACAAATTATCACTATAAATTCTGGAAGGAAAAAAATCAATCCTTATAAAACTCAATATCCATTAATAATTAAAGTACTCAATAAAATATTAACTGACATATATTTTCTTAATGTAATAAAACGAATAGACCATCTTCAATGTCATTTAACAGGCTAATGCTAAAAGCATTTCCTCCAGAGTATCAAATATTAGAGATTTTCTAGAATTCAGGGGATTGAATGTATAGTTGTGTGCTTGACTAATATTGAGTACAATGGTGCAGAACGAAAGCCTTCCCAGTCACAGACAGAGACCACAGAACCAGTGTGACAGGTATACAGCGGCATGTGTATCTCCACCAGAGACACCTTTGTCGACTTACATCTTTATCGGAATCACTTTTGTTAAACACATAAAAAATTACAGGCTTCCAGAAGAAATTCAGGTTTTTAGCATACATTAAATTGCACAGACAGTCTTGGCTCCGTACACCACTCATACCTGCTACAGAATGAAAAGAATACTCTCAAAGTTGAGTTCCAGGTTCTAAGAAGCAGTCAGCAAGCAGACAATCCCACAGACAGCAAGCAGGTTCGGCCCTCTAATGTTGGCCATGTATCTCTGCTACAATTCAATATTCAAGAAAGGATATTAAGAACATCACACATACTGTGGTGGTTAGTCTTCACTATCAGTGTATCTGAATTTAGAGTCACCTATGAGACAGACTTCTGCAAACATCTGTGAGAGACCTTCCAGACAAGCTGAACTGAGCAGGGGAGATGCCCTGAGCATGGCCCGCACTATCCCATGGGCTTCGCAGACTGAATAAAAGGCAGGAAAAGAATGAGGAAATGTGATGAGCACCAGAACTCATCTCTCTCTCTCTGCTTCCTGACTGCAGATCACCATGTGATCAGCTATCCCATTTCCTACCACCGCGCCTTCCCAGCCATGCTGGACTGGGTCCCTCAGAGTGTGAGCCACATGATCCTTCCTCTCTTAAGTTGCTTCTTGTCAAGGATGGGTCACAGCACCATACAAGGAACACAGAAAACTGGTGCAAGCAGTGGAGTGACTGCTGTGATAAGCTTGATCATGGGGCCTCTGGTTTAAATAATGTGAGGAAAAAGATGGAAAAAAGCTGCAAGCTAAAGAATGCTTTTAGGCTATTCTGGTGCAACTGTGGAAGCCCAATTGCCAATAGGAACACAGAGAGAAAGCCAAGCGCAGGACATTTCAGAGGGAGAATGAAGATTGTCAGAAACTGGTTTGGCAGCCATGCATATTATGAGTCTGGCTGCTTTCTGCCCGTGTCCTAAGACCTTCAGTGAGACTGAACTAAAAAGGAGAGGACTATGTTACTGACAGAAGATATTTCAAGGCAGCACTGAAGTCAGCCTGCATCCTGGTTATGGCTTCCTGAATTTATCCAGATTTGCAGGGAAAGAGAGAGCAGAAGAATGTGGAAGAAAAAGATGCAAATGGCATGCAGTGTAGCAGAGAAAAGACCATGACCCAGGTTCACTGTGAACAGAAGTGTGCAGGTGGCAACTGACCTGGTGACAACAGGAAATATGCTTGAGGTCAAGAATCTGCACAGCGGGAACTTCAGACCATGGCAATACAAACATATTTGAAAAAGAGAACACCTGGAAAGATAGTGCCTCTAGGATCTCCAGCCGTGAGTCAGCCGCCTGGAAGAATGTTTTCCAGGTTCATCCTTGTAGGCACATAGAGGCTACTGCAGCTATGCCCCAAAGGCGCCGAGTTATATCCCAAGCTGATGGCAAAGTCAGAATTATCTATGCAGATAGATGGAATTATCTGTGCAGTGCCGGTTTTATAGATACACGGAGCAAGAGTGAGCGGTGTCACCACAGCTAGCACCAGGGCTCCAGAGGGTGGCAGAAGCCAGGTCACAGTAGCAGTGCTGGATTTCCTCCACCGAGTTCCAGAGGAGACTGCATGTGAAGATGCGAGGGTGACACGTAGCTGTAACAGACACCTCAGAATACTGTAGCTGCCAGAAACACAAGACACAGGCTGAGAAAAGCTACTGGCATCAACTGAAGGAAGCCCAAGAGAAAGTGTGTGTCATATACCACAGGCAATAGAAGTGCTGGTTCAGGGCCGTCCAAGCCCATGGGAACTCAGGTATTACCACCAAGACATATAGATGCCAGTCATGGAGCAGCAGGGTTTGTGTCTGCCTTGCGGAATTTCAGTCTTCCTTTGGTCAAATCTCTCCTTGCTATCCTCTTGTTCCTCGTTTTTTGTTTTGTTTTTTTTTTTAAAAAAAAAAAAAAAAAAAAAAAAAAAAAAAAAAAAAAACAGGGCTTGCTTACTCTGAATTATTGTCATTGGAAGTCTATTGCTTTTTTCCTATTAATTATTTATTCAGTTTACATCCTGATCACAGCCCCCTCTCTCCTCTATTCCTGGTCCCACTCTCCCACCCTCTTTCCCTATTCCCCCTCTCAGTCTCCTCAGAAAATGGGAGCATTTGTAGCTTCTTTTAGTCACAGCAATAAAAAAGTAACTAACATATAATCTAATTTTAAAAATCAATGTTTTAGTTGAGTAATAGAGTATTTCAACTAGCAGTATGAGGCCCTACGCTCAATTCCAACATAACAGGAAAAAAACATAAGGATCTTCATTTTAAAAACTAATAAATAGGAGAGATTTATATTGGTAAATAACAATGTATATGATATAAAGAATGCGTGTTTTGGAATACACTGAACAGAATAAAAAATCATATTCTATAAAAGTTATACAATACAGTTTTAAAGCATTCTTGAGAGACATAGATGTAGATTTGAGCATAGACCAAAAGACTCACCCTGTTCTTAGATTGGATGACTCAACAAATACACAGTTGTAGCTTTATATTAATTTCCAAATTTGGTGTAATCTTAACCAAGAATATGTTCAAACTATTTTGTTGAGTTAGATAAGTTGATACTAAAAAAGAATAATAATACAAAATTATCCACTTAAAAGGAAAAACTATGAGATAACTAAGCCCAATCGACATTAAAAGCTTCACAAAGCTTTGTACAGTACATGGATAGACCACAGGACAGATAGAGAGATCACGGGTCACACCTATCTGACCTAGAAAGTCAGTACACAACAGAAGTGGTATCTAGATCTCCCCGATAAAAGCGTTCTGTTTAGTATACTGAGACAATAAGGAACTTGTTTGAAAATAAAATAAAATGGGATCCAAGCAAAATAAGAATTCTAAATGAGTCAGAGATTTAGGAGTAAAAATGATGACATCTAAGCAGTGTATAATTTCCTTTAGCCTGAGTGTACATAAAATATTTCCAAATATAAGCAAAATCCCATATGCATAATTCATAAATTTGACAAATAAATGGTTTTGAAATTTGCATGACCAAAAATAAATAACAAGCACTACAAAAAGTCACAACACAACTGTCAAACTGGGAGAAAGTAATTGCAGCATATGTCAGAGCTAAAAAGCTATGATCATAAATAAATAAGGAACTTTCAAATTTGTGTAACAGAACTCTAAATTCAATAGAAAACTGGAAAATAGACACATGTGGTGGCCACGTCTGTAATATGTGGTGGCTGAGTCAGAAAGATTTCAAGTTCTAGGCCAGCCTATGAAAAAAAATATTTCAAAAAGAAAAAAAATGGAAAAATTGACATGAATGTATATCACAAAGGGTGTGAAAAAGATTCTCAATCATGAAAAATATGCCAAGTCACTCATTAAAGAAACACAAGCTGAGGTGCTGGAGATGGCTTGGTGACTAAGAGCTCACGAGGATCCAAAGCCTCTGTCCTACACTGGCACCAGCACTTACATGTTCACACCTAAACAGACACATACACATAATTAATTTTAAAATAAGAAAACTTAAAAGAAAACAGAAATGGATACAGTTCTGATATAGTGCTGACCCCTAGCTGACCAAGGGAAAAGCATGAAGTCTCACATAATTGAACGCAATGGGGAAATGAGATAATTTTCACATAGTGCCAGGGCTGTGTAAGCCAGTGCAGCCCTGGTAGAGGAAAGCCTGGTGGTTTAACAAAGCCTGGCTATTGCTGGTGACACAGCAGTGTGACTTCTACAGAACCACGCTGAATACACACACCTCGAAAGCAAACCAGGCAAATGGTTCCGTCCTTATGAAATATGGAAACAGCCTAAATGCTGCTATGTGAGAGGGAGGCTCAATGACATATCCCCTATGTAGCATACTCTACAGCTGTGAAATGGATATGAATTCTGTGAACTGACTAGAAGCAATTTCCAAGACTGTCGTTATGCTTCTAAAAGGTTAAATGTAAAAGGCTGTATAAACCAGGTTACTTTTTATGGAATACAAAGGACTTTTATAAAACATTTCAATGTCTGTTTATTTGTACAAGAATTAGAGGAGCCCCCCACACACACTCCTGCCCCCAGGCAATGGGCAAAGAGACTTCTTGTTGGTAGCATTATTCTTATATCAGCCAAGGGCAGAGCAGACGGCAATCCTTTGGTCATCCTTGCTTGATGCCTTGCTTGGTGGCCAAAACTGTTTGATGCCTAAGACTCATAAAAATCAAATCAAATCCAGGCAGCACAGTGTGGAAGGAGGAAGACAGACATAGACCTGTGGACTGCCATGCCATCACAGACCTGCGCTCCAGTGCACAGCACAGGAGGACCACAGACACCTACTTGCTAGAGAACGTCAGCCACATGGCCAGTCTGCAGCAGGAGCCACCACAAAATGTGCGATTATGTGGTGGACAGATGGAAGAGAAAGAAAAGTAGAGCAGCTTGAGCATTATGAAGAGAGATGGAACTGGAGATTCAAGGAGAGGAGTAGCCTGTTCCAAAGCTGCAGGATATCGATGACACAGAGAAACAACAGAATAACCTGGAGGAAACCCAGTGAGGATCTAATATTGCTGTTGTCACCGAAACCAGAAATCTTGAAGCAGACCAAGTGAAGATGTGTGGACAGAAGGATATACTATGGGACACACTGTGACATACTACAGCTTCCACAATGAGATGTTTTCTATGCTTTGTGTTTTTTTGTTTTTTTAATAGGGGAGGTTACAAGGACAAAGGGTGATATGAGGGGACAGGGTGATGAGTGGGACTGGAGTGCATGATGTGAAATTCACAAAGAATCAATAAAAAACTATTTTAAAAAAAAGAAATGTAGGAGGGATACACTAGAAACTAGTTATATGAGCCATTTACAAGAAGGCACAAAAAAGTTTAAAAAATTAAAGAAAGTGAATAGTGTAGTATTCATGAAGAAGAAGTGATTCTTTCATCGTGGTTATTTTGTACAGCTTTACTTCAAAATTCTCCCAACCCCACCAGCACTAGAAACACATAACACAAACATACTAAAAACACAGAGGAAGCAATTCCTAAGAAATGCTGGAAAACAACAAGGTCCTACAAGAGAATCTTGATTAAAGCGATGGGTTTGTTTTCTACAGGAGCATGAATGGGTAGTCCTGTGGCCACTTGAATATGCTAGGACTGAACGCATAAGTGAGCACTTGTAATGGTGACAGCAAGAGGCAGTCCTTGTGGTGACGGCTGCAGTCTGAGGAATCATGAGCCCCATCAGGCTCAACATGCTCAGTCAGAGACTGACACAGGAACACACATGGACAAAAGGCTACATGTTAAGATTTGAAAACGTCTGGCTACATTTACTGAGAGATTCATGAAAGAGTCCGGCTGTATGCCTGAAATCAGCAACAGCCAAGCTACAGTTAGCATACCCAGCACCCAGAGCCCTGTAACAGGAATGAGAGCTGCTGACTCCAGGAAGAGTGAAGATAACACTCAAAACTCATCAGGAATGTCATGCCATGCCAAGGAAAAGCTTGCAAACTGAACTTTGAATCTGCCTACACAATCAAAAGTAGAACTAAGGGCCATACATGAAGAGGACCAAGACCCCCTGCTCAGATGTAACTCTTAGGCAGCTCAGTCTCGATTTGGGTTCCTGAGTATGGGGAGCAGAGACTATTTCTGCCATGAACTCTGTTTCCTGCACTTTGATCACTTCCCCCTAGTGATGCACCATTGTCAGGCCACATAGGAAGAAGATCCAGGCAGTCCTGATGAGACTTAATAAGCTAGGGTGAGATGGCAAGGGAGGATGACTCCCCATTTCACTGGACTAGGGGAAGGGGATAGAGAGGAAAGGGAAGAGGGTGGGACCAGGAGGAGACAAGGGTGGAGAGTACAGTCAGCATATAAAATTAATAAATTGTAAAAAAATAAAAATTAAATTTAAAAAAGTAGAACAGTAGAGCAACAAAATGGGTGATAGTGTTGACTTAAAACACAGCAAAAAGCCAATGGCACAAACAAGTTAAGGACAGCTCCTCATTTCAGAGTAATTAAGCAAATAGCTACAAACAGAAGAAGAAAGATGAAAGCCCACCATTCAGCCAATATTGCAAACAGACCTTGCTTAGCATCAGCACACATATTTGTGGATGCTAACATGTCTAAAAAGGTTAGAGCCTTTCTGATCCTCTGTGCTTCAGAGTGGGGGCAGGGGGAGGGAGGGAGGGAAAGTGTCCAAGCTGCCAGAACAAGTCATGTGGTGGCTAGCTCCAACATATGCTCTAGATAATATAAGTCTAGAAGGCAAGAAAGGGTAAGAACCCCCCAAACCTAGAAGAGGGCTGAAAAGTCAATCTGAATAGAGATTTGGAGCCAGAGCTCTGAACAGGGAACTCTGGTCATTCTTCATAATATAGAAAAGGTACTGTATGCCATTTTCAGTTACCAGTGAAAATCCTCGGCCCAGTGAACATTCCCTGGTATTACGATACCATCAGAGTCAGTGTTGGGCTCCCCCTAACCCACCATGTACTGGACTGCATCCTCAAGGTGACACTGGGTACACACTTGATTGTTACTCAACTCTCATATGTTTGCCTACTTGAGCTGAAGAATCACTGAACTTTCTGAAAAATAATAATTCATACAATGTCTAGTCAGACTTTAAAATGCTGTAATAATAAACTCAGTTTCTGCTGATGGTAAAAGTATTCACAACAGTCAAGTATCAACAAATAGACTAAAATATTCTGATGAGTCTTCAGTCACAATATGGAAATTGAGGAAAAAGTGCCTTCCTCTGCTACAGTGAAAAAAACTATCCTATTGGCTTCTTCTGTACCAGAAGTGCCTGTTGATTAATAGCTAACCCACAGCTATTCAGAATTCTCTTTAATTAAGAGAAATCAGAATCTTTGCTGAACTGTTTCTTTTTTCAGATTAATTTCAGCCACTAATTAAATCACTTAGGTTTTTTCCTATCCCTAAGGAAAAACATATTATGTCCTAATTATTGCTAGGAAAGTCTTAAAAAGATCATACTGAGAGAGGTAGCCCAGAAGCAGAAAGACACATGCTATATTCTCACTTATTGGTAGATAGTAGACATATAATATAGGATAAACATGCTAAAATCTGTACATGTAAAGAGCTAAGCAAGAAGAGGACCCTGGGTAAGATGCTCAATCCTCATTCAGAAAGGCAAAGAGGATGAACATCAGAAGAGGGAGAAAACAGGGAACAGGACAGAGAGCCCCTACCCAGCAGGGTATCCTCCATGCACATAGAATGGTAGGATCAACATAGTAAAAACTGCCTTCTTACCAAAAGCAGTCTACAGATTCAATGCAATCCCCATCAAAATACCAACACAATTCTTTACAGACCTTGAAAAAACAATTCTCAGATTCATATGGAAAAACAAAACAGAATAGCTGAAACAATATTATAAAATAAAATATCTTCTGGAGGTATCTCCATCCCTGATCTCAAGTTGTACTATAGAGCAACAGTAATAAAAACTGCATGGTATTGGCATAAAAATAGACTGATGAATAAATGGAATCAAATCGAAGACCCAGAAATAAACTGACACACCTATGAACACTTGCTTTTTTATAAAGGAGCCAAAACCATACTATGGAAAAAAAACATAGCATCTTCAACAAATGGTGATGTTATAACTGATTGTCTACACGTAGAAAATGCAAATACATCCATATTATCACCTTTCACTAAACTACAGTCCACATGGATCAAAGACCTCAACATAAAAGCAGACACATTAAATCTATCAGAAGAAAAAGTGGGAAAGAGCCTTGAACTCATTGGCATAGGAGACGACTTCCTGAACAGAACACCAACAGCTTAGGCTCTAAGATTAACAATTGATAAATGGAACCTCAGGAAACTAAAAAGCTTCTGTAAAACAAAGGACATTGTCAATAGGAAAAAAAAATTAACAGCTTAGAGCCTGGGAAAAGATCTTCACCAACTCTACAGCCAACAGAGGACTGATATCCAGAATATAAAAGAATTCAAGAAATTAAACCCCAACAAACCAAACAGTCAAATTTAAAACGGGGTACTGAGCTATACAGAGAATTCTCAACAGAGGATTATCAAATGACGGAGAATCACTTAAAGAAATGTTCACCATCCAAAGTCACAAAGGAAATGTAAATCAAACCGACTCTGAGATTCCATCTTACACCTATCAGAATGACTAAGATCAAAAACTCAAGTGACAGCACATACTGGCAAGGTTGTGGAGAAAGCAACCCCCATTGGTGGCAAGAGTGCAAACTTGTACAACCACTTTGGAAATCAATCTGGCACTTTCTCAGATAATTGGGACCAGCTCTACCTCAAGACTTAGGTATACCACTTCTGGGCATATACCCAAAAGATGTTTTAAAATACAACAAGGACATTAGCTCAACTATTCATAGCAGCTTTATTTGTGACAACCCAAGCTGGAAATAAACCCAATGTTTCTCAATCAAAGAATGTATAAAGAAACTGTGGTATATTTACACAATGGAATACTATTCGGCTATTAAAAACAAGGGCTTCATGAAATTTGCAGGCAAATGGATGGATCTGGAAAATATCATCCTAAGTGAAATAACCCTAACCCAGAAAGATACACATGGTATATGTGTATACCACTTATAAATGGATATTAGCCATGCAATACAGGATAATCATACTACAATCCACAAACCTAAAGAAGGTAAGTAACAAGAAGGATCCTAAGGAGAATGCGTAATTCTCATTCAGAAGGGCAAATAGATTAGATTCTGGAAGTGGTTGAGGAGAGGGAACAAGACAGGCATCTTCCATAGATGTCCTTTAAAAGACTTCACCCAGCAGGAGATCAAAGTAGATGCTGAGACTCACAGTCAAACTTTGGGAAGAGCACAGGGAGTCTTGTGGATGAGTGCGGGAATAGAAGGACCTGGAGAGGACAGGATCTCCACAAGAAGACCAACAGAGCCAACAAATCTGGGCTGAGAAGGCCTGTGGAGACTGATGTATCAACCAAGAACTATGTATGGGGGAGGACCTAGATGCCCTGCTCAGATGTACCTGATAGGTAGCTCAGTCTCCATGTAGTTCATCTAGTAAGAGGACCAAGGTCTGTCTCTGACATGAACTTGGTTGCCTGTTCTTCAATGATTTCCCCCAAGCAAGATGGACTTGCCATGTCACAGGGGAATGCAGGCA